CTGTCAGAGAAAAAACATGCATCAATTACAGTCTCTGTCCTTGAGTATTTGTGTCTAAATCTGTAATATGAGGTCTAGACATAATCACTGAACTGTAGAGCAGTGGGTACACTAGAGTGACACAGGCAACCAGAGATACAGAACCTGAGGGGATCTTTTTTCCTGATGTGTCAATGCATAAAAGGATTCCAAAATGTGGCAATCTGATATTAAATTTGTATCATCAACCTTATGGCCACTAGAAATAGGTTTATACAGAATAACCAACATAATAATGAAATAAGACAAGATAATGCTTGCAATAAACATCTCTTAATAATCAAAGAATTTCTAAAGTGTTTCACTTCTCTGGCCTTGACTGTTTAATCTGTGAAATGAAAGAGTTTTATACATACCACTCAAGTCTTTCCAAATATTCCTTGGGCAGTTCACTGCAATGGAGATAGCTCTGTTGGTTGCATCCTTCAGGATTGCCATGAGCTTTTTGTGTAGGTAGAAAGCTTTTGGAGTACCAGAAACTATAGGGATCTTCTTTTAAAAGGTCATGCGATTGGTTGGCATGTGGAAATGTGACTAATAAAATAGAGCAAATTGGTCTGCTTAAAATCCTGAGTTCCTCCCTAAGAGACAGTATGGTTCATCAGGGGAAATGGAAGACCTATTGACACTAATCCGGAACCCAGGCCTGTGAGACAACTCAGATCGCCGCCCTCAGTGTGGCTCTCACTTTGTTTCATTGAAACGCCTGGGTGAAATCCCTACTCTGCCCCATAGGTCCCCAACTGATCCTTTTTTCTTTTTCTTGAATCAGGTTTAACTTTCTGAAGGTTGAAAATTATAGGCAAAAAATAATATGAGAAAAAGAGAAAGGAAAAGGGAACTGGACTCACAGAATGACAGAACTGAAAGGATCATTATAAGGTTACAGCCTCAAAAAGACTGGACTACCCATTCTCAGTCTGAAGCCTCACAGGGCCACCTGGTTTGAGCCACATACATTAGCGCTTGCCTCTTTGGGCTGATCTGTTTGGTTGCTATGGGGATGGTGATAAAACATCCATCTGGGTGGAGTCAAAATTATATGACACTCTCACAGCACATCTGTGAATGCTGGCCTTTTGAAGAAATGACCATAGTTCACTAGGCCTCTGTGCTGTCAGAGGCTGCTTCCCAAATACCAACTTTGAACCTAGCTGTACTGTATGGACACACAGGGTCAATGAAAAATAGTGTATGAAGGGCCCCAAAGCACAAGAAGTTCTGGCAAAAAGTGACAGGTTTTATCCAGCCTGCTGAAGAGAAATGTACTGAGACCACAAAGACTAAGGACATGCACTCCTTCAGAATGTGTCTGTGGATCAAAATACACCCTAAAAGATTCTTGAGAGAGCCCCTGGTGGCCATGTTAACCTTGGCATTGTTATAACTAAAAGGCGATGCTCATTTCTGGCACCTAACATTGGACACATTGACAGCAACTGAGTTGATGGAAGAGAAAGAATGTGTTCTGCAGTTTAAAACACACACACACACACACAGCAGTTCTCAGATTTCTCGGGCTATTTGACATCACACCAGAGAAATACTCGATTTCAGGATTCCTAGGCTCTCTACAATGATGCCACAAGCGGTGTCCCCCTCATGTGATGATGTATTTCAGGGCCAGAGTTTTCTCAAGATATTCCAAGCCTGCAGGCTCCTGATCCCTTTTCAACTTACAAAGATGATAGCATCCCAGTGAGAGTTGTGATTAGTCACTACAGCTGTGAGAGATGAATGTACAGATTTCAATAAAGATTCTGTGTGTTCTGGACTGAATTTACCTACATGACTTCGAGGCCTAACTCAGGGACCACTTAAAAGAACTGGAGCTGCCTCAGTGCTATTCCATTTCTTCCAAAGCATCAGCTGTTAGGAGGCTGCAACTGTTCTGGGAGGATGCCTCCCCTCACACTGCTGTCACTGCCCAGCAGTGAATGTTTTTTTAGAAGATCTGCAGTGTGTAGGGAGAAAAGCAGGGTCAGGAAAATTAAACCCAAGTACATGGGAATTCAAAGAGGCCATGTAATTCATTATGCAAATAGTCAGGAGACATATAACACCTTGTAACAGAAGGGATTGGCCTAGAGTTTTGGGGACAACAGAACCAGCTGTATCGCCACCTCTAACTCATCTAGAATTGTGCTAGCAAAAAGACAGGCTCAGGACATTCTTCAGTTACTTGGAAAAGCCAACAGGGCTTTGTTTTCTTATTTTGGACACCTTTTCCCTGAAATACTTCCTTGGAATACCAAATAAATATAATAATACATGTTCTGCCCCTTTTACCATGTTTAATAATTGTATTGTCTGAAGACACTTGGCTATATTCTTTTATGGAACATCTGACAGCATGCTTTCCAAAGCTGGGACAGACTTAGGGGACAAAGATTCACATCATTGTCTACACATATTAACCATTATAGAGATAATAAGCAAGATATCTCACTTTGGAAAACAAAAAGAAAGTACCAAAGAACTATATAATGTGTCTTTTTTTAATTATCTTCTAATATGATTTGCATGCATGCAGAATCTTCTAAAGCCATGTATACATTCATCATGTACATCCACCTCCATTGTTTAGAGTCCACTGAAGCACACCTGGTATCACTTTTGACTTCTGGAGATTTTTAATTGTGCACTATCATTTTGCAGTCTATCACACAGCCATACTCATATGTGATATGTGGAATTTCTCCTTGTAGACACTGACCTTGACCTTTTTCTCTCTAAGGCAGATCAGAGAGACAACACAGCTAAAGTGAGGAAACCCAGTGGAGAACTGAATGAGCTGTAAATGAAATTCTCAAAACACCAACCTCTGGGTGATCTATACCTGGTATTTTATTAAAATTGGGGTGGGAGTGGAAGAAGAAGGAAACAAGCTCCAATTTTTTCTAATATTCATACAAACAGAACACACAACTAGGAACATTTTCTCTTGTATTCAGTCCTTCATGCAAATCTTCTATATGCTAATAGATTTTTTCAACTACTGGCACATGCCACCTCAGATTTCATCTTTTCTAGGGAAAAATCAAACCACTGAGTTAAGCCTGTTAAACTGGATAGCAACTAGAGCAACTAAGCGTTACTCCCCCTGGAACCGTGCTGCAAAGGCAACTTCAGTATCAAGTAGCTTATTCCTGTTTTTCTGCTGGAGGCCAGCGGGAGTCCAAGCACTCAGCAAGGCAACTTGGGGGAAATCATACAATATGCCAGGATTCTGATGGCTAAAACAAAGCTGCAGGGGGAATAACCAGAGCAGCACTACAGGTAAAGGGAGTTTTGCCTTTCTGGGAATATTACAGGTTGGTCAGTCTGATGGTTACGTTTGCGGTGTGCTGGTCAATGTTTGACAAGCTTTTAGGTAGAAAACGCCAAGTTTAAAGCATTTGCAATTTCCCTGGTTATAAATACACCCAACAAAGGCTGATTTCAAACTACCCAAGTGACACCACTGGATGGGAAATTAAGAAGTGATTCCAAATAGTAACCTATTGTATAGTATTTCAGATACAATAGATGTAAATAACCTCAACATACAAATTATAGTAAAATACAGTGAAATAACTAGACTGTGGCAAATGCTAAGTATTACTTCTGTTTTTAATATAGATAATTTAATTGTGAGTTTAATCATTTCATTTTTAATAATGGTTGCATTTAACAACTGGCTCCCAAAATTCATGAAAATTTAAAGTTGGGCTCCAGTGAGCAGATACCATTCGTTTTAACACACCATTGCACTGTTGCTCTTCAGGGACATTAAAGATATTTTGAACAAACAATAAACCAAATAAATGAAGCTACTTAATCATCTGGATGAAACTATCTCCAGGGTTCCAAGGAAGCTGACCTCTTTGCTACCCACTTTACAAATACTCAAAGTTTTCAGGTCGTACCCGTAGTATTTATAGGAATACCATTAAATGATAATACCTAACATTTGCATGACGCATTACACCTTTCAAAGTACTGTAGTGTCTTAGGATACGGTGGGACAGTCTGACTGCATAGTGAATTTAAATAGATGGGTAATAGTATTTTAGTGCCTATTGGATGGAAAGAGAACCCAAGAGACAGAGGAATGGAGCTGGGAGCCAAGCAAGCCCGGAGGTGGTCAGCCGACCCAGTGTCCCAGGTTTCCTCTTGGAAATGGCTCCATAACAGCACAAGCAGGTATACAGTGTTGCCAGGATTTCCTCTCTCTCTCCTGCTTTCTAACTCTAACTTTAGAGATTTGACTAAAACCGGTTTCTCTGATGGGGAAAAAAACGGGTTGGACGGGATATGATCTAGGAATCTGTGAGAAAACTAAAATTATTAGAGTCATAACATTCTAATATGCCCGTACCTGACAGGACAGCTTTGTAATGCTTTTCTCCCCATCCATACATACCTGTTACTTGTGTAGTGCACACTTGTGTGTAGAGTCTACATAGATCTCCCTGCCAAAGGCTAAAACCACAGTAGTCGTGGCCGAGTGGTTAAGGCGATGGACTAGAAATCCATTGGGGTCTCCCCGCGCAGGTTCGAACCCTGCCGACTACGGAAAATGAAGAATTTTGCAGCCGATACTTGCTTTCGTTTTGAACCGTTCTCGGCTATTCCTCAGCTTATATAAGGATTTCATGAACGGTTGGAATACAACATATACCCCAATGAGACCGAAAGATGAGTACTTGAGGGAGCAAAGGAGAGGTGCGAATATGGTTGCAACCTGGGCCCAGGACAGGGAGTGAGAACAAAACATTCCAATCTGGAATGAGGAAAGCGAAGCGTCGCGACATATCCCTGGAAAGAACGGAGCAAACTGCGGTCCCACACAAAGCCCCGAGCTGCCTTGTCTCGCGCACCCACAGCGTTCTTCTACGAGAGCACGTCAGCAGCCAAACCTCGCGCGCCCCTTCGCCGCCATAGACCGGCGCGCGCATGCGCGGGGGCGAGCGCAGGGAGCGTGAGCGCGGCAGGTCCTTGCGTTGCCCCTGGAAACCGTGCCGCGCTGCCTTGGCTGGAGTGGGGAAGAAAAACGTAACCATTCAAGATGGCGAAAGAGCTGGACGAGCTCTTGGATGAGGTCGAGTCCAAGTTTTGCAAACCAGACCCACTGGGCATGATCGAGCGGCCCAGGGGCTGCAGCGGCGGCGACATCCTCAGTAACGACCGGAACAGAGACAAGGCGAAAGAAAATCTCAGGTTAACGGGAGAGAAGGGTGGGCTGTTTCGGTGATGCCTGCTCCAGACCCTGAAGCCTCCTCTCCACCCGCGACCTCCCTATCCCCTCCCTGTCAGGACCCAGATCCGCAGCTCCCCAACCCTGGGGCACACCTCAACTCCCTGTCCGGGAGGATTCTGGCATCTCTTACCGAGGCCCAGCTCCGCCCCCGGACAAACCCCTGGGAGCTGGTCCCGCCTCTGAGAGCCTTCGGCCTCCTCCGGTCTCCGACACAACGCCTAATGGAGGTGGGGAGAGAGGGGTGTAACTTAAGCGTCCTCTCCTGAACCCCAAGAGCGGTTATCATCCTGGGGGGTGCCCGCAAAAAGAATCTCAGCTTATTGCCTCAGGCCCCATTCCCCAGGCAGAGTGATCCTTAGGCCAATTGTTGGAGAAAACGATTACGTCCTATTCTGCATCATCATTAGCTGATATTTTTTAAGCTCAAAAGGATTAATTGTGAGCACTGTCTGTAGTAGTCTAACCACTTTCCTTCTCCCCGTTGCCCCCAGGGCATCTCAGGCCTTCCAAATTGAAATTTGGGTAAATTTAAGCCTCTTGGTTTTTAAGCCGAAAAACTACCTTTCATATTTGTCAGTCTTTTTTCTTCCCTGTAATCATAAAATAATGGGGCTTCCTTCTTCCGTCTCATTTCTCTCTGACTCCCAAAAACTCAAAGTTATTTCCTTAGAATGAGTATTGTCCTTCAAAGTGATGATTTGGGAGCCTCTGAAGTGACTCTCTCTAGAACCTGTTGGAAATGTTTGTGGAATTACAGAGGCAGGCTTGGAACTACCCAAGAAAGTCATTCTTGTAATTTTTATGGCTGCATCTAGAATTTTTGTTTTGTTTTGGTGTGCATGTATGTGATTTCCCAGAAGTATTATCCAGCGCCATTGCTACCCAATTTACCAGACTTAACCTCCAAAGATATGTTTCTGTATACAAGTTATACAGAAGATAAAACATTGAAAAGATTCTCAAATTTAGAAAACAAGTTCTAAAAATTAATTGAATACTGGGCAGCATCCTAGAAAATAAATGTAGATCCAACTAAAATGACTTTAAAGGGGCTAACGCTCATTTGTTTATTCAAATATCGCTCATTAATTTGTATTATTATCCTGCATGCTGGATGTCCTTATATACTCATTTCCAGCATATCTACAGTCCCTATCCCACAGCAGTGCTACCTTGCAATTTCTTTTGTTCTTCTTATTCATTCCTTTAGGGGGAAAATTTATCGATGAGCCTTCCCAGAGCCTGTCATTTTAGAACTAGCACGCAGAGGGGTGGGATGTCTTGGAGCAGACTGCTCAAAATGCAGAAGGCTGCTAATCTGGATCCTCTTCAAGCACCGGTGCTTTTATGCCTCGCTCTCAGTAGCTTGTTATTGTACTACTAAAATCGTTCCATAATGTTTCTACTCCATCCCACCTTACTACATCTGATTTTTCAGTAAAACATTTATAAAAGCTGTAGCTGACCAGTACTGTTGTCATTCATGTGTTAAAGTTTTCATTTGTTAATACAGTTTTAAATGTAAATATGCAAAATAAAGACCCTAGATCTAAACCAAACACCTACTTGGTATATAATGTCAAACATTAAAATTTTGTCATGAGCCAAAATTGATATTTAAAAGTTAGGAACCAATATATATTATGAATTATTAACAGAAGACTACCTGCTGATTATATAGCAATATAGCCTGTATCTCTTTTCCTTCTGAGAGTTGAAATACCAAAATTGTCTTTTAAAATGATAGCTCTACAAATAATAAAATAAATGACTGTGCTACATCTGGATACCAGGAACAAATGCTAATGTAAGTGGTCAAAACATATGCAGTTCATTGAAGTGTTCAAAATGATAGATAAATGTGTGATTAGTTTAAAAAACTGATGTGGGTTGAACTGCAGTGGGAATAAAGTGGTTCATGATAATACAGATGGGAATATTTACAGATAATATAACCTCCTAGAAAATAGCTATAATAATAGCCAACATTTATTATTGAGTCCATTTGCTATGCTAAGAGCTGTATGTGTTATTTAATCTCCATAACCCTGTGAGGTGAATACTATTATCCCCATTTCACTGACCAAACCAAGACTTAGAAAAAGAGTTACTTGTTCAAGCTCATATTTCCAAGTTTACAGGACATTGTATATCTAGATTTAAGCTTTTATACTTAACCTTCCACATTTAATTGTGGGCTTCAAGTGTTTATATTTCTTTTATTTAGAATATACCTTTTATTTTTTATAGAAATTTCATCTTAAGATTAGGATAAAAGAAGCATCAATAATTGGGGAAGGAACCTATAAATGTTTATTAACCTTTGATTAAGATTATTGTCTTATAGCATCCAAAGACAAAAAAAAAGATGGATTATGCTGACCTTTAAAATTTTATGCATTCTCAATAAAACTATTGCATTCTTTTTTTTTTTTTCCATAGCAAAGCAAAGACAAGTGTAGGCATCTTTAAATTGTGTGATCTAATAACAGACCAGAATCTTACATAAACTGATAGTTTGAGTCCCTAAAAGTACTAATTAGGTTGGTAAAGTTTGAATGCATCTGATTCCTGAAATTGTAAAATTGCTTGAGAGGAGAATCCAAAGAACATGTCATGAATACCAAAGTAGGAGATATTTTCAAGAGAACTTCTTAGCAACCTGTTAAGATTCATAAAAGAAATTAAAGTAGTTGGTACCCAACAGTGTCAGATGCTTCTAAAAGATTAAAGAGTATTGTAACTGAAAAAAGCCATTAAATGTAGTAATTTGGGCCATAATGACTTTTGAGAGAAAAGTTTCACTATAATTGAGGAATATAGAGGCCAGAAATAGAATATTACACCTGGAAGAAGTTTTAAATACTTGTCTAGATTTCCCTTTAAAGAGAAAATGTCTGAGGCTTAGAGAGGTTAAGTAATTTAAACTAGGTTAGTAGTTTTCAACAAATGAAAATTTTACCACCCAAGTGACATTTGGCAATGTCTTGACACTTCTGACTCACAAATGGGGAAGGGTGTGCTACTGGCATCTAGGGGGTCAAAGTCAGGGATGCTGTGAAACACCCGACAGTGCATAGCAGCCCGCTCTTGCTATAGTCCTGATGTTAAGAATTTTCTGAGTAAATAGGTTTCTCAAATTAGAGAGTTTGACAAAAAATCTGTCTTCTGAAACAAATGATGGTCCAATGAAGTTACAAAATCTATAACATAAACACTAAAAAGTTTAGCATCAGGTGTACAGATTGCCCTAGATTCAATTCCTGGCCCTCCCTCCCACTATTTTTGCGACCGTGAGTTTCTGAATTCCCAATTTTTCATCGGTCTAGTGAGTATTCATCTGAATCCTGTTTTTTCATCTATCTAGTGAGTATTCAGTAGATGTTAGCTCTGATGCAGTATCAGTTTGTATCAATAATCCTGTGATGGCTTCACCTGCAGCAGATAGAGCAGTAGTTGAGATACTCTATCCAGCAAATATTGCTTTGTTTTGGTACTGATCATTTGATTATCTTTGGCCTCTCTAGTAAAGAGATAAGTTGACTGACTTACAGTGGAACCCTCAAGGAAAAAATTAGACTCATGAAAATTGTCTTTATTTATAAATCTCAAGTTCTACTTTATATTGTACATGTTTTGTACTCATTTACTGATTGGTGTAATTTAGAAAAGTACATGTCCAAAAGTATAAGCTTTCTCTTGAATATAATGAATAGCTTTTAATGTCTTATTTTAAGTATGTAAAGTACGTACATGAATTTGTACCTGATAAACTGTATCTTTGTGTCAACAAACAGGCTATGTCCGTGGAAGAAAAAAAAATTAATATCATATTTATCCTTCTGTAATCAACTCTAATAGACTTTTTTTAAACAAAACTTCTGATACTGACTGACTTCATCTGCACTTAAGCTTCAGCTGTTTTGTTTTGTTTTCAGATCAACAGAAACATATGAAAAAGAAGATGATCTTGATGGTCTTATTAATGAAATATTTGAAGAGCCCAACTTTGACAAAAAACCCTTTGTAAGTCAGACATAAATGTGGAGTTATTGTTTCATCTCAAAGTATGTTCAAAATAGCCTGAAAACATATAAATGCACAGGTATCTATAGTCCATTTAATCCTCAGAAAAAGTTAAAGAAATTATTCCTTTCAAAAATGTATATGCACTCCTATGTTTATCACAGCATTATGTACAATAGCCAAAATATGGAAGCAGCCTAAGTGTCCATCCAGATGAATGGATAAAGAAGGTGTGGTACCTGTACACAGTGGAGTATTACTCAGCCATGAATAAAGAAATCTTGCCATTTGCAACAACATAGATAGACCTAGAGGGTATTATGCTCAGTGAAATAAGTCAAAGTAAGACAAATACATATGCTTTCACTTATATGTAGAATCTTAAAAGCAAATAGACAAATCAATAGAAGAGCCTGATGGTTTCCATTTTGTTGGGGGAGATAAGGGGAGGGGTGAAAAAAAAGGTGAAGGGGTAAAGAGACATAGACATTCAGTTATAAAGTAAGTTAGTCATGGGGATGAAAGTACAGTGTAAGAAATACATTCAATAATACTGTAATATCTTTATATGTTGACATATGGCAAATACACTTATAGTGGTGAGCATTTAGTAATATTTGTAATTGTCAAATCACTATGTTACACACCTAAAATCAATATAATGTATATCAACTGTATTTCAATTAAATAAATTATTCCACTTAAAGTTGTAGTAGAAATAAAATATTAGAAACTGTGTTTTGCTATTCATTTCTCAGCAAGAAAGAGAAATTAGGAAAGCTGTTAGAGAAGTCAGCTCAGATGAAATTGGTTACTTGTATTTATTTGTAAAATAAGAATACTTCTAAAAGAATGAAAAACAACTATCATTATAGGAATGTGCTTCGTATCTCAGATGCAATGCCATTGCTGTTATCCCATTAACCAATCAGTAAATTGATAATATTTTAATTTTTTAAGTGCTATGGATCTATCAACTTGTAAAAAGCTCATAAAATAACAGAACAGCCACCTACATATATTTAACCACCCATACTGAACATATCTTAATGTTTTGCCATATTTAGTTATCTGGGCTTTTTTTTTTAAAGAAATAAAAATTAGCTTAAAAACTCTCCAAGACCTACTCTGCTGCCCTCCTTCCCTAGAGGTACCCACAATCATTTCCAGCCACACTTCACTTCTACTTTTTACTACATATGTATATGACCATGACCAGTTTTAACTAATGTGTAATAGCCCCTTGCATAACTCTTCCACAGCTTATTTATCTGCTGCCCTGCTGATGGGCATTTAGATTATGCTGAGCTATTTCTCTTAGCAACAGTGCTTCATCAGATATCTTCATATGTCTTCTTTTACCTATGTACAAAAGTTTCTCCAGGATTTATAAACCTAGGAGAGGAACTGGTACATCGTAAGATGTGCTCACCTTCAACTTTTCTACCCATTGCCACAGTGTCTTCCAGAGTGACTTATCATTTATATTCTTCTCACCAGCATTGTATGAGAATTTATATACTTTAATTTTTACCAGTTTAGTGAGTACAAAATATATTTTTTGAATTTAGAAGAAAGAGACCAAATGGACGTCAGAATCACAAGGACCACCAAAAAAATCTAAGAAATAAATGTAATACCAAAGAGGGTTTTTTTTAGGGTAGGGAATATTAAAGCAAGACAGTGGACTGAAAACCACTAGACAGTGGTGGTGGAAAGGACGTGAATATGGGCCATTAATGTTTTTGTCAGCCAAACTAAAAATCAATGGTAATAGATTTTTTTTCTCTAACATTTTTAATTCATCTGAGGTAAATTAATAAGCTGATGGTGGAAACATGTCAACACAATAGAGGTGGTGTTAAATACACATAACAAGAATGCATCATAAGTGGTAAATAGCTATGCTAATTTAATTAATAGAAGAGAAAATAAAGCTATATGTTTTTGTTATCAATGATCATCAGAGTAAGTCATTATTAAGTACTACAGGGTGCATATCTGTGTATGAGGCATGGTCTCTTCATTTCAAGACATTCCAGAAGGAAATACTTCTCTGGTTTTGCTTTAAGATAACACAAATTTGAAATAAAAGTAACTTATACCATCATGAATAATAAACTTGTATGTACTCACTCTGTATGTTGTTTTTATAGCTCTTATATCTAGTTTTCCAGCCTGCAAGGGAGAAAACAACCCAGATACACTTCTGGAGGAGAGCAGGGCAATGTAACACATTGGTGTGAATGGCCAGTCTGTGCCCACCTTGCCCTTAGAAGCCACATCATGTTTCAGAGAGTACTATCCCCTCCCCCGTGGCTCACCCAATCTGTTGTGTTTCTGAACTGCTCTAGACCCACAGAGGAAAGCCCACGACAACAACAAATGTCACAGTGTGCCAGCTTCAAGTCATAAGCATGAGCTGGGCTGGAACATGAAACGCTCCCAAAAACAGACTCACGCACTCTACAATTTTTCAGACATGCACCAAAAAATTTTTCCAGTTTAACATCAAATAAGGAAGCTCAGAGAAATAGTACAAGGAAATATTTCTGCCTCCATTAAATTTCCTCACATACTAGGTAAAATGAGGGCATGTCTCTGCATAGTTTAAATTGCCTTTTCTCCATCTCACTTCCTCTTCTTGGCGGTGGTCCTAGTGTATGGTTGGCTTATGTTGTTTGGTGTCATGTACCAGTTAACACTTAATAAATGCTTGCTAATAATGATGGTGTTAGGTAACCATATAGGAACTACTGTATGGTTGTATACATTTTCCTTGAATGTCTATTGGTTGATACCATTCCATTCGATCAAAATTAATATTCTTGAAGTTATCCAGGAGTTAGGTTAGCTTATTTTTAATTCAGGCATGTACCATTCACAGCCTTTAAAAATGAGTCTGAGGTTTTTTTTCTCCTCAATTGAATTTTTCCAGGATGAAGTTTTAAATAGCAGGTCTTTCATATTAAATCATTGGTCTCTAGTATTAACTGAAGAGTTATAAAGTGACTCCAAATCTTAGCATGGTAATACTGGCAGTATATCAGTTTACTAGACTAAAAGCAATAATTTACAAATTCCTCAGGGTGGTCTACTTCCCTTTTGCCTTTAAAAGGTTTTGATCATTGTTTTCATTTCAGAAGCTTTAAAAAAAGATACAAAGTTTTTTATTTAATATTTTTATAAAAAATACTATTGTTATAAAATAAAGAATATTACTTTTCATGTTAGAATTTCCTAAGTTACCTTGGACCTTTTCTTATTTTTTTAACAGAAATTAAAACCTAAATCTCCAGGTAACACATCTGTCAGAGCTTCCATTCAAGGCCTTGGTAAAAGGTAAGTTGAGATGCTTTGGTGAATGATACACACTACTAGCAAACACTGTGAATATAGTTGAGTAGATTTTGTTACCCTTTAAGTAACAGTGACATGTAACAATGAAGCCCTGAATGGCTTTTAGGAGAAAGACCAATAGCAATGTCTTCAATAGTGTTACAGGCTGGACCCCTTACTATAAAGGAACTTGAATGGCAGATAATTGCTATTGTAAATAATTTTCTGCCATGTGAAAAAAAAATTAGTGTGAACAGTTTCTCAAAATTTACATTCTGTTATATTCTTTGGTATTTACTTTGTCCCTTACATTTGGCAAACACATTTTTCTTTGACTTATTTTAACTCTAGTGTTCCAGAATGTACAGGTTATATCCAATAAAATAGTGATCCTGGAATAAGTATCTCTTCTTTGTAATAGTTGTCTTGCTTAGGCAAATACACAAATTGATTACAAGAAGTAGAGTCAATGAGACCAAATTACTTCTCATATTTCTTTTTGGGTGTCATTTTGTTTTCCTCCATCTGTAGCTGCAGCCCCGTGTACCTTGGTGGAAGTGCTGCTCCATGTGGGATTGGAACAAATACTTCACAGAGGTAGGATGTCAGAAACATACGTTCTTACTACATTTTTCCAAATTGATACCCTGTTGTTAAAATGTTGTTCTTATCAACTTGGCATCCATCTGTTCCATAATGAGAGGTGTATTTTATTAGCTGATCTAAGAACACTATACCGAAATACTTGTTATTCTCAGACAAGAGCTATTAGAAGCTAGGAGGGTGGGTGTATATTTTTCATTGTGTTGGTGCCCTTTTCTAAGCCCTCCTTGAAGTGCCTGGATCTCCAGACCCAGCTTGTTTTCTGCAGGACACCAGGGAAAGTGAGCTTCTTCTGCCTTGCCACTTTGCCCTTACAGGCAGTGGCATCCAGTGGATTAGACAAGGGAAGCAATGTGGCCATGCAGATGCATGATGTGCTACCCACAGTGACTTGGCCAAATAGCATGAGAAGCTGCAGGCCTTTGGTACCCAAAAAGTCCTCAAGCATAGTTGCTTGACTATACATATTTAAAAGCAGAAATCCTTCTTTCTTTGTCTCTTCCCACCCCTTCTTCCACTGACTATCTCACTCAGTACTCTGTCGGGGCAGTGTTATGGTCAGGAGACCACCTATGCCAAACCTATAGCAGCCTCAGACTCCTAGCATATTCCATTATCATCATCATCACTTGGGGAAGCAGACTGGTTTGAAGCAAACCTTTCTGTTGTCCTCATACTTTCGGTTCTGTTTTTGCAGAAACCAACTTACCTAGATTATTACATTTTTGTCTAGTCAAAACACATTTTCATTTTCCATTAATCTTTTAAGAAATGAAAGAGTACAATATATGATTGTTTATAGACCACATTTCAGGAGGGATAACTGTTATGTTCAGTAATAGAAGAGGGATCTAAAAAGACATTGTTGGAGAGTTGCAGTAGTGCTGTCCTCGATCCTAGGCAGCCTAGAAAGAAGGGCTGTAGTACCAAAGGGAAATCGGAAGTTGGAAGAAGCCTGTACCGGGACACCAGGCAGCAGACAGGTTAATAAAGGTCCAGTGGGGTGCTGCCTGCTCTAAGGGCTACAGTTAAGAACTGACAGCACTGGAACCTTCGTGTCTATACAGAGAATTAGAGACACAAATGCCCTTAGAGAAGAATACAGTCTAGTTACTATCAATCCTGACTTACCTGTGTCAAGTCAGTGGAACTTGTCTGTTATTTCCAGAATGCTGCACCTCAAATCCGGCCTTCTTTCATGCCACTCTTGAACTACAGCATCAGTTTCCCATTATCATCCACTTCACTCTTCTCTAGCTTCACCCACATAAAGCATTAAAGGACTGTACCCTTAACATATTAATTCAAGTGCATCTCCCCTGTTCAGAAGGAAGATGAGAGTGGCCATTTGTCTCACATTAATGCTAAACTCATTTGCTTACAAATTGTATTCTTTCTCTTCTTAGTCCTTTCACCTCTAGTTAAAGCATGGGTCAGATACTCCACTTCCACTGCAACACTTGTTTTCCTCTACCTTCCACTTACATTTTTCTGCTTCTAAGGAGTTTTACATTTATTCCCTGTCTGGAATAACTCTCCTTTCTACTTCATGTCCCCACTGTCGTATCTGCTTTATTCACATAGTACTGATACATTTTCTCATTCTATTTGAATGTGTTCATTTTATAATATTCACTGAATGCCCACCATGTGTTGTGCCTGTGTTAGATAATAGATACCAGGGGAGGGGGGGGCGGGGGCGGGAGATGAAACTGGCCAGTAAAGGAACTGATAAAGAAGCAAATAAATACACCCCAGGCACCAAGAGAAGGAGCTCTGATGACAGAATGCCTGCGTTCACATCTTTCACTCAACCACTTATAGGCTGCAAAGCCTTGAGAGAAGGGATGTTATCTTCTAAAACCTCGGTTTCTTCACCCATAAAATCTAAATGTACTTCCTTGAGATACTGTGAAGTTAAATAAAATTAAATAATACATTAAATTAAATATGGAGAAAAGCCACCTGGCTAATTAGGTACACTAGTTTGTAATTATTTCTGTATATTTTTTATGTGTTAATAGTGCCTTCTTTTTGTGTTATATTTCAGCAGCAGGAATCCTATATTCTGCTACCTGTTTCCCATTTTATCTCAGGAAATAATGTATCGGTGTACAGTGTATAAGTATTTATTTACAGGTGTCTTCTGATTTTAAAAATGGTCTTTAAGACAATACATTTAGGTTTACTTCCAAAGAGTAAATATTTCATTAAGATTTTCTTCTTTGTAATATTTTTTTTCTATATTTTGGTATCATTAATGTACGATCATATGAGCAACATTATGGTCACTAGACTTCCCCCTATTATCAAGTCCCCACCACATACCCCATTACAGTCACTGTCCATCAGCATAGTAAGATGCTATAGATTATGTAGTATTTTTACATGTACTTTGGTTTAGTTCTAGGATAGGAGAGTCTGTGCCTGGTGGAATTTCGGTAGACAAAAGAATAGCCCATGTTTATGGCTTGTGGGCCCTATCACATCATACTGATCCACAAGAGTGCCAGAGCCCATCAGATCCCATGCCTCCCTTCTGTACAGCTACAAGGAGAACACACATATCATTCACACATATACGCACAGATAAACACTTACATTCACAGATCTTCTCTTCCTCACTCGTTACAAAAATACCAGTCACCGACCACCCTTTTCCTGACACAAATCTGCACCCATCCAAGCATAAGCATATACATGTTCATGTGCATTTTATGTGTGAAGTACTTTATACTACCTACAGCATGTTTTTATGTATACATGTTGGCTCACCACAGGAAAAAAGCAAGATGGAAATAGAGCAAAAATTTCTTAGCCCATTTTATAAAATGAAAAAATTGAAGCACTGACATTAATTAACATTAAGCATTAATTAAACACCTAATTGCTAGGTCTTCAGTTTTGAATGAATACATTGTGGTGAACAAATAAATGGACACTTCCCTGCCTTCAATGCCTTTCAGTCTAGTGAGAAAAGAGACACTGAATACCACAAATAAGTATTTAATTTTCATGTGATTTATAATGTGAAGCAAAAATACAGAGTATTATAAGCATAAGTAATCAGCACCTCAACTAATATGAAGGTTTAGAGAAAGCTTCCCTAAGCAAATATTTAACCAGACTATGATATGAAAATTAGTCAGAGCTAAGCAAAAGGGGACCATTGAGCCAGAGGGCATACCATGTAGGTGATCCCTGATCTGGGAAGGACTGTTGGAAGAGCAAGAGCAGCCGGGAAGCTGGAACATAGTTTGCTGGGGAAAGAATGGCTCCCCCTGGGGCTAGGGAGGTAGTCTAGGGACATTTGGTTTGGGGTCCCATAGTCCTCTGGAGGATTTTAGGAAAAGCATTTCATATATGCAGTAGAAGCCATTTGTTGGGTTTTGTTTTGTTTTCTGTGGGGGTTTTTTTAGCAGATGGGGTGACATAATCATATTTGTGTTGCTAAAGAAAGTCATTTTGGCTGCTGAATGGAAAGTGGATTGGAAATTAGAGGGGCAAGGCAGGAGAGGATACAGACAGACCAGTCAGCAGGCAGTGGTTACAGTGGTCCCGGAAGGGGAAGATGATGGTAGCTGCGACCTGAGTTGTAGCAGTGGCTGTAGGAAAAAGGTGTCCCAACTGAGCGACTTAGAGTTGACAGGGTTCACTAATGAAATGGCTAAAGGAGGTAGCAGAGAATGTCGCCAAGAGTGACTCCCAAATAATGGGCCTTGCCTAAGGTCACTTAAATTGTTAGAAAGCAAGGCTCAAATGTGTAACTTGATTCCTGGTCCATTATGCCTTCTAAGATACCAATTTGCAGAATGCAATTTTACATGCAATGTATGTAAAAGGAAAGAATCGTAGGTAGCTGTTTTTGCTGTTGCAACTGTTTTTATTTTCCAGCTGTCCAAATAGCAAGACTCCCTAGTCCACTGGGTAGATCTGATAGGAGTTAACAGAGTGTGGGCAGAAGACTATATTGGGGTGCACTGGGGGCATTCTATCATTAAACATCTATAGATTCTACTTATTAGCTGGGCAAAAGAACAAAGCTGTTCTGACACTTTTATATTTGTGATGCCTCCACATTTTAGAGGAAGAACCTGACAATTTATCTTTCATTGGAATCATGACTTTATTTTAGATAGGCTCTTTATTGTACATAGTTATGAAAGAGAAATATATTTAAGCCCTGAAAATAAGCACTGATGTACACTCCCAGGGCATAAAGGAAATTGAGTCTATTCTCCCTATCTTCCATGTTTTTGTTTGATTTCTGAGTAAAGCCCTAATGTGGGAGTAATGCTGAATGATTTTAAAGTGTAAAGATTTTAATCTTTCACCCAGTTTGTGGAGAGTTAAAAAAGAGTCGTAGCAGGAAGTAGCACTAATAAGGTATTGATAAAACCAAGACGTTATTTTCAAGCCAAAATGAATATTACTCTCCTAATTATTTTTCAAACTACTTGCAAGCCTGGATTATTCCATAGACCTGTACTAATTATGATCTAATAGAGTGAATTGTAACAGCAGAATGATTTCTTAGCTGCAAGTTAACTTTATTTTTCTCAAAGGACAGTGTTTGTAGGAAAATGTGGTAGTGTGAATAGATGTGAATAAACTACTAAATTTTAAATTAAATTAAAAAGCTGTATTTAACATTATGGTTGAGATTTTACACATACAAATGTCAGGAAATTCTAAGTTATTGTTCCCACAACAGCAGTAATTCAGCCAAATTGCACATATGTATTAAGGCATTAAAGTTAACACTCTGTGCAATCATGTAATAAACTATATGTGCATAAGAAAGCAAGTTATGGCAGCTTGGGGAACCATCAGTTTGCATTTCCTGACTTGTACACTGAAAATCCAAGTTCAAATGTGTACAAATGTAATTGTGTTGAATTTCCTTTTGTACAAACACTAGTTCATAATTTGCTAACAGTTTGAAAGAAAATACAGAATTGCTTATGAAACTTGTATAGACTGAATATTTAGTT